TGCATTCCAGTTAATGATCAACAAGTAAAAGATACCCCTGATTTTCCATAGCTTTTACGTGATGTTTTGCCCATGACTTTCAAATAACTTACAGAGCTGTTTTCAAATCGTTGCTAGTTTTTCTTTCTTCTGCTCTCAAGGCTAAACTCTCATTGGTTGTTAACTATTTTAACCTGTATGTGGATTTAGTGTTGTCAAGGTCATTTGGAAATGTATATATTCAGCCTTGTTGTCAACTGTATTGACTGTTATTGAGACAGTAGAAAGCCATCTATCAACGGTTCGTCTTCTCTTGTCTTCGCGTGTCGGTGGTATTGTTGTGGTGGTGGTTGACGTTCTGATTTGCGTTAGAGTCGATCCGTCTGCGCATTAAGTTCCTATTGCTCGTAGACTGTTAGGCCGTACTACCGATCATAGCAAAGACGATATAAAAGATGTGTGAAAAAGGGTTTGTAAACAGTAAGAGCAAATGTATCAGAATAAAACAGTGACCGTTGGACCAATAATGGAGTGTCATGACTGCTTATAAAAGGGTCAGTTGAATTTCGTAGTTATACACTGCGTACTGTTGTATGGGTGTGAGTAATGACTGTTGAATACCGTGGAAATGAGAATGTTCGACCTGTTCAACTAAAAACTTCATCGTCGCCACTGTATAATCAATTCATCAGATTAGCAATGACATGTCAATGGTACAGAATGTTAGTTGGGATAGGATTAGACTGGTAAAAAAAGGTCAAGTATTGACACTTGAAATAATTGATTTTCATCAAAGAATGTAATTTGACTGACTGGTATTCTGAAGGTATTACACATTAATGGTTGGAGGTACTCGGTAATGGTTAGTAACAGATATATAGGTCCATCAAAATCTTTAATACTTTGTAATTATTTCGTTCTCTCTCTCTCTCTCTCTCTCTTGTCTTTCACCTTGGTTATTTTAATATTTTTCTGCTTCTGGTAATTTTACCAAGCATTACAGTTTTGAGGCGATATGTTGTTTTAATGCTATACTCCACGTTACTATGTCTGTATGACTTATCGATGGTACGGGGCTTTTTGGAAAGAATTTACTACTTTCAGTTCTGAGTACACATCTAACCCAGTAGATATGAACTTGGTTGTTGGGGTCGTTTCAATTTCATATCTACTAGAAAAAGATTCATAAAAAAAATGTTGTCTGATTGTTTTTATTTGACTTTTATCCCCTCAAAACTTCTTCAGTCAGAAGTGTGTATGTATATGTGTTAAGTTTACTCCAGCAAGGTTTATCAGTTATAGTTCTTAGCTTATTATAAAGATTTATTTTTTCAAAATTCAGATACAAAATCCAGGATATTCGTCTTCTAGGCAGTAGGATTATACAGTCGAATACATGCCTGTATTAATTCTACAGGGAACTACAGATGGAATAATAACTTCTAGCAAATGGGATAATCGTCTATACATAAACTCCTATCAGTCATATAACCACGTGTACATTTGAGTATATATACAAACAGATGTAAACGATCAAAATATTTCGAATTCAATTATTTCTTTTACTGCAAAATATTATTTTCTTTCTATCATGACTGTCTATTACAATTGTTTTCATGTTTTCTCTACTTAATTTTTATTTCTCCTTTTGAAATATAATGGTAATAAGTAAACCTCAGATATCGCGATAAGATTACTGAAACCACTTAGAATTGGTGTGGCTCATAAACCAACTAATTCCCTCCAAACATTATTATGCAGACCAAAGGATGCAACAACCAAAGAAGACCAACCGAACACCATTTACAAAATCAACTTCAATAACTGTAGTCAACACTACATTGGACAAAGTGGTCACCCTCTTCACCTTCGTCTATATGAACACCAATTGGCTATTAAACGTCACGACATTTCGTCACTCATTTCAATGCATGTGGATACTTATGGACATGAATTCAATTTCGACAATGTAGAAATTTTGGATGGAGCAAGGAAACAAAGAATATCAGAAATGAAGCTTGGGATTCAGGTCAGTCAGTCAGTCAGCAATCAACACATGTATAGACATAGACCCAATCTATCAACCAATAAAAAAATAATGAACGAGTGAAAGGTCAGAGGTCAAGCAAAGGGACAGCCAACTGGAAAATCTACACAGTCAGTGACATAACAATCAAAGAAAACAACCAAGCTACTAAAACACTCAGGGAGAGATATTGACAGCTCACTTCATACTGAAGTTAGTGCTGATGATATCGTCTAGGAAGACGATGAAAGCTACATGATTAACCAACCTAGCGCAGAGAACATAATACAACCAAAATCTCAGATGTTTACACCAGATGCAAACAAATTCTATCAACCAGAATTCAATGACTGACAATAATCACTTGTGTCTAATATGAAAATAACATTTAGGAGCAAGTTTAAAGGCCACCCTGGCAACTACTGAAATAACCAATTAGGTTTCCATATATCGTTTTATACAATACAGAAACCTAATTAGCTATCACATTTACAGGTTGTGTTGACGTTTAGTTCTCATACGGTTAACATTATATCACATATGGACTGATTATTATACGAATTGGCAGATGAATCAACTCTTACTTCTTTGCATCTATCATTCATGTTCTAGAAGCGTTTCTGTTCAACTTATTATGAAGATGAATAGGGAAATGGTATGCATCCATAGTATGTATGGTGGGCAGAATTCTCAAATAAGTGACTGATTTCTATCTAACTTTAGCTCTTTATGACGTAAAGCGGTTATGTGAACATAACTAACAGTTATATCGATGTTCCTGTTTATTGGAAGTGAGATGAACCCAGAAAAGCTTGGAAAGTAATAAAAGTACCCACATGGTTGAATATAAAGTGAATAAAAACCACTGCTAGCTGCATATAGGTGTGAAGTTGACTTTGAGAAAGCCTTCGATAGCGTCGACCGAGAAGTAACTTGATAGCTGCTGCTTCAACACTACGGTTTTAACGCCATAAACCTTGATCAACCTCATTCAACAGCTATGTGATGCTATATAATGCTACATGCCAAGTGATTCACAATTGAAAGCTCAGTGATGCCTTTGAAGTGAAGACAGGAAGGAGTAAGATAAGCTTGTCGCCTAGTGTCACCGATCATCTTCCTGATTGTAGCCAACTGGACTAGAGTGGATCATGCGGCAAACTGTGAGGAGTGAGAAGATGGGCATATGCTGCTTGACGCATGAAAAGATCCTAGACAATTTGGATTTCACCGATGATGATTGATGTCTAATTTCTCATGTCGCACACACTCGACGATGTACAGGCGAAAACTAACAAGTTTACAGAAGAGACAAAGCAGCGAAGACGGGAATTCAGGTGAACGTAGAGAAGATAGAGGTGATGGAGATACCCAACCAGCACCACCACCAACGGTAACAACAACAAGCACCAATCACCATCAACGGGAGAAACCGAAAAAAACTTATCTCTTTCACCTGCCTACCTAGGCAGAGCACCATCGTCTAAACTACAAGCGGCACAGGCACAGATGAGGATGTGAAAACCAGGATCGGAAACAGCAAAACAGGCCTTCCTTCATCGATCTGAAATCAGTGTGGAGAATTACTCCACTCAGCATAAAGAACAAGATACGGATTTTCAACGATGATGTCAGTCAAGTAAGTGAGTGCTTCTATGTGATGGTTGAGAGACTTGGCGCGTTACGAAAAGCATTTCCAACGAATTACACACATTCATCAACAGCTGCCGCCTACAGTCACTCGATACTGAAGATCGGATGGATGACCAGAAAGAATTAGCAACAAGGAACTCTGGGAACGAACTAACTAAGGACCTATTGCTCAATAAATATGCAGAAGAAGAAAGTGGAGATGGATTGGATTGGACATACTCTGAGGAGACCGTTTTGGGACATCACGCGACGAGACAGGCCCCTCAGTGGAAGCCAAATAGGAAACGACGAGTTGGGCGTGTTAGTGTGACATGGTGGAGATGGGGTGAGGAAGAAATGAAGGTTTATGGGCAGTAGTGGAGGCAAGTTGAAAAGACTGCATATAATGGCGTTAACGACGTGCTACTGAAGCCCTATGTTCCACTAAGAACCCAAGGGACAAATAATAATAATAAAGTCGACTTTCTCAGATCAACTACTTTAGGGATTCTGCTTTTGTTTTCTCCGGATAGCTAAAACATATTGTCATTAAAATTATAACATCATAGTTATGCTTACAAAAAAGCCTACTTTACTACATATTCTTCCTTGCCTCTTTAGTAACCCTAAGATGACGTAGTTATCTTGCATTCTGGTTTTTTCCCTATGTACACAATAATCAAGTTCTTTTTGTTGAGAATATTTTCTTTGCTTATGGAACTGCAATTATTTCTGTTTTTGTTAGTAATTTTGTTTCATACTTACAGTCTAAAGGTATCTATTGTTTTGTGGATCTGTTTCGATTTCGCTTCAAACCACTATCGATCGAGTATGCCCCGTTGCGTGACCTTGGATCAAAGTTAATTATGTGTCAATTTATAGATCATTTATGAACACTTTGATTGTATGTTGTAATGTAATAAAACTTCATGTCTAATAGATTTGCCTGATGTTGGCTTCAAAATGATCAGGAATTCTCTAACCCCCCAGGTAGAGGCTCATCATAGCACTTTGGTAGGTTGAAACCCCCGACGAACCCTAATCAGGGGTGCAGTCGGGCACGTAGTTCTTTTTCTTAACGAAAATACGTATCCATTCAAATCACTTTTTTTTTTATAAAAAGAGATTAGTTTCAATCACAAGACTCCAGCTGTCTACTAGCCTGAGAGGGAGATTGTTCTAGATCCTATATTGCATTACATCAGCTAACTTATCTCTGATATGTGACGCTGTCGTTGGATTGCCTGATTTTATTACTTCAACCTGAAGTTTCTTGAAATTTCATTTTTTCACCTTGATTTTCAAAAATAATTCCCTTTTACTCTTTACCTGAATTCTTGAAATGTCTTTTTTCCCTTCGTAGGTTATCCCCCATTTTGTTCAGCTACACCACAAGAAACATACAAGAAGATAATGAGTTGGAAAGAGGCATTATTCTTTCCTCATGAAATGCCTATCAGTGTACATGCAAGAAATTTGATACAATCATTATGTTGTGCTGCAGAAACTCGTTTGTCAAGCATGGAAGATATACGAAAGCATACATTTCTTCATGGTGTCGATTGGGAACATATACGAGAGAGGCCAGCTGCAATACCTGTGAATATACGTTCAATTGATGATACCAGTAATTTTGATGAATTTCCTAATGCTGATTTAAGTTGGTGTAAGTTCTTTCAACTTTATATAATATCAATTTTTGTTCTTTTATCAGAGATTAAAATAGAATGGGGTTAGTAGGATAAATGTTCAGAGGTATTCTACTGCCTAACAACTTGAGAATACTTCAGATATTTCCAATACTTAGTGGAGCTGTGAATTGGACATAGGTGATGTAATTAGACAAGAAAGATTAACTAGTCAATAAGGTTGTAAAGTTTTTTTTATACCTGCAATTTCCCATTGCTACGCTGGGTCTAATTCTTCGATCTCTTTTAGCAGATGGGCTCCTATGCGAATGCCTCGATACTACCTGGATATTTGGTGGCTGAGAGTGGACAAGTGTTATGTCTTGTTTCAAACTCGTCAACCGGATGTGACTGCACCCCAATGAGACTCGAATCTCGTACCCACTGTTTCAAATGACAAAGTGTTATCCACTGGACTGGTGGGGAAGTATACCGACGGGAAATCCCAAGTACCCTAGTGGATAACTCTTTGGTGTTTGAAGCGATGGATACTTGGTTTGATTCTCAGTCGGAGAAACATCCGGTTGACGAGTCCCAAAAACGACCAAAGGCGCCTACGGTATTCCATTGTTATCCACCGAGTAGATTACAATTGTTTTTACTCTGTTTTTTTAACTGATGTATCAAATAAAGAATTTCTCCTCAAACAAATAATTTCCATCATAGAATCATCTTTGTAATTCAAGGAAGACTCTTCTTTGAACCTTAGTATTTATTGATGGGGAGAAGAATAGACTAATGGTTAAACGACAAGCAACTTGATGCATTAGGGTTAAAAATGTTAATTAGACACCTGGTTTCCATCCAGTTTATCTTTTAGTCTATGATTTCACATCTTCAAGTGTATCGTAATGTTCGACAATGACTTCATGGAAGTATTCATGTTTCCTTTCATAAGCTAGTGAATCTGAACTTGAAGCTATTGCAATCTGTATATTTAACACTTACGAATTCAATAAACCTGTAGTTGTATAACATAAGAGAAACGAGCCTGTGGTATCTTTCGCCTTACATATAACCTGATTGAATATGGAAATATGTTTGGATATACTACTGAATATTTTAAGTAGTCAGACGTTACTCACATCAATACAGTGAACAATATCACTCACTGAGAATGAGGTGCATGCAACTGACGAGTTCCAAATAGGACGAAACGCACATTATGGATTCCATTGCTAGCCACTATCCATCATTACTATAGTGGTTTTATTGATTCATTATTCGAGACATAGATCATAGAAGTCCAACACGATTCAACATTAATATAAAAATTTATGATTTTAGTCCCAATATAAATTGAATAAACCGTGTTGTCTCATTAAGAATGATATTTTTTAATTTAATTACTGTACTTTCAACTAAATGGTCATTGTTTCGAACTCCATTTTCATTACTATGGTTCCGAAACTATGTAGTATTGAATAAATTATAAAACTGACACTAGTGTAAATATGGTTTACTTATGTTACTACCAACATAAAAACTTACTAAACCGTACTCGATAGATAACTTTAACTAGGACTGAATAGGTGAGTAAATTTGGCGGGGGAGGGGGATGGGTGGGTAAAACAACAAACAGACAGGAGTGCAAGAGATGAAGTTGTTGCGTAATCATATGAAGAAACTAGAAGAACGTTCAGCAAAGTGATTGACAAACGATAAGCAATCAATGAAGAGATGATTCTGCAGATGTCTTTGTTATTACTCATGACTCTGTCTAGAATGACAATGGAAGCTTGACTATTAAAGTATCCAGTTGAGGGAACACAACACTATCAAAATTATCTTATGTTTGAAATTCCTCTTCAACAATGTCATTTCGATGAATAACGTGGCACCTTTCATCCGTCTACGACACAAGTATGAATAACTATATCTCATTGATGCGTTAGTCAATAATAATAATTTTATTCCAAACAATATATATGATAGTATGGAATTCTCAGCATGTAATCTTTCAGCAAATTCACTCCCAGAACAATAACTTTGAGACGAAATGGTTATTGGATCTCCATGATGTTTATAATAACAGTATTCAAGGCCATAATCTGAAGTAGCCAGCTGGTTCTGGATGAGCATCCGGTCTTTAATGAAAAATCAACAGAAATACAGGCGTAAGCTTGGTGGTGGTGGTTTATTCAGGCGACACAAAAATCTGCAACTCAAGCTAAGTAACTGACGAATAGAAATATGATGTTGAATTTGGGGATTAAGAGATTTTTCAAGTTGGTATTCATCATGGACTGACATCAGTTACAGGAACATCGGAAACCTGGGAGTACTGGACTGCGGTTTCGTCCAAGTATGGGATTCTTCAGCAGTGTGCTCCCAAGACCCTACCAGGGATCGAATCCGTGACTTTCAGGTTTCGTGGCCATCATGTTACCATCAATTGAACTAGTGCTGATTGGTGACTAGATTCGAGAGTTGATTCCTGAAGGTCTAATGAGAAGCCGTAACCAGTAGAGCGAACCTGGTAACCATGTGGACAAATACTCAACGATGACATTCGATGATGGTTTCGCTATTTCGTGAACTGACAGAAGTTTGAAATATGGACTATTGAACTCCAACTCAGTTGGTCAATGGTAACGTGCTGGCCATGGAACCTGAAGGTCATGGGTCGAATCACTGGCGGGGGCGTGAGTGCACACTGCTGAGGAGTCCTATGCAAATGAGACGAAACATCTGTCTAGTACTCGCAGGTTTCCAATGTTCCTTCAGTCACTCAATCAGTCCATGATGAATACCAACTAGAGACATATGATGTACTGTTATGCACTGAAAAGTCCACTTTCATATAACGTAACAGTTTTTCCTATACTTTGTTATTGACTCGAGAAATAGAGAGTTGAAAAGAGTTTTAAAATGTGCAAGAGTATATGATGCATTTAAAGGATATATTTAAATGATTAAAACAAATTGTAAGGAAAGAATTTGGTGAAATATGTTCAATGGATAATTTTGGTAGTTCAAGGTTCAAGCAGATCACTGTCATTATTATTAACTGTGCAATTAATACCATTTAATTAGTTATGTTTTTTGTTTAATGTTATCTTTTTACTAGCAAATGTTACGGATCCTATGAAAAGTTATCAAAAAAATTTAGCCTTTATAAATTATACTTATAAGGCATTTGATGGATGGACAAATAATGATCGAATATTAGATCGTCAATTATATCAACAACAACAGTTTCAACGTCATCAAGCTGCTTTATCATCAAGAAGTATAATTTCTGATGTAATTAATACATCAAAGAAAAATCCTCCAACTGGTGGTAGTTCTTGATTATCACCTATTTCCCTATTATTCTCTTCATTGTTTGTTTCCTATCCTTGTATTTATGTTCCTGTCTATTTTTGTGAGGAAAGTTTACTTCATAATGAACTCCCTTGAATCCCAAATTGTTTTTTATTTTATTTTTAAAATTCTCCATTAAGGAATACCTTTTGTCTTTCTATCAACTATCTAGCATTGGGTGACAGTTCTATGTCTCCACCCCCCTTTTCCCTGAAATTCATCTCCTAGTTACTATGGCAATTCTATCTTAGTTTCTTTATTTCTGGTTACAACTTTCTGAGTAGTCAACTAACTAAATCATTCTGATAAGTAATAAGATTGTTCATTTCTATGCCAGGGGTTATTAGATTTACTGATCGGATTTTTGGGGGTAAATAGTTCTCATTTTGTAACTAACTTCTTTCATTTAGTTCTCTTCTGTGTATTCTATCGTCTTTTTCGCTTGTCTTTCGAATATTTAATTTCTAAATGATGTTGTATATCATCCAATTGTATCTCACATTCCCATTACTATTTTGTGAATTGCATTCCTGTGAACAAGTATGACGTTCCATTTACTTAGAAAAGTTGTTCTGATTATACAATGTGCCTTAGGCTTTTCCTTCCCCCCTTTCTTCACTGAGTTTTAAAGTTTTTCTTCTGGTTGTATGTACATCATCTTTGTTGTTTTTTAAGTTTGAACTAAATTAGTCTGATGAATTGTTATGATTCACATTGTGAACGGATGGAGGTGATAATTCATTCATTCATTCACTTTTTCTTTATTTTATTTTTCTCTTTCGTGTATATTCTCTTTTCTCTCAGTGTAATTCATTCTACTTTCAGTTCCTATTCTCCTACTTTCTTCAAATATCATTTAGAAGTGAGTCTTTTTCGTTAGTTATTTACCTAAAGGAAAACCGAAGGAGAAGAAGCGTATTCTCTACCTGTGTATATGTGTATCTTCCTGTGCATAATAAGGAAGATTATCTTGGAAGGGTTAATAGTCACTGCCGAAGAACCTTTCATTGTATTCAGTGTAGTTATCTATCATTACTCTATCTATTCACATATCAAATGAAAAAAAATATACAAAATGAAACGGAAACAATACATTTTGCCATAATTATCTCACTTCTAAGTGTATGCTTTCGATGTGTTCTATTGGAAATTAATAAATAGCGTACAATGTGTAGGAGGAGTAACACTTTCCAACTTGTACTATAGCATAGATGTGTATAAGCTATGCATTCTATGAATGGATAATAAACTTAACAATTAACATACTATTGTTTCGTTAAGCTGCTGCTGTTATCTGCGGATGGGATTTATAACATCCATATAAGTTTATCACGTTGTTGTTAATATTACTGTAATACTACGCTAAAGAGATTATACCTCTTTATTCTATTAGAGGATATATTTTTGTCTACTACTACTACTACTACTACTACTACTACTACTACTACTACTACTACTACTACTACTACTACTACTACTACCCCAATTGACATAAACAAATAAAACTAACCTTTACAATTCCACTTTTTTTTTCTATTGAAAATAAACGTATAAGTAGAGGAGTACATTTTCCTGTATAAGATAATTATGAAAAGATTTCGTAGTACGGTCGTTTTTTTTATCTTCTCAGATGAACTGTGTACACATCAATCTACATATTCCTCCCAGCCCCCTACTCCCTCTTATACATGTTCTTGTTTCATTTGATGATATGCCTTTTTCTTGTATTCAATAATACACAGGAAAGGGTTTAATTTTAGTATATATATATATATATATATATATATATATATATATATATATATATATATATATATATATATGCAAACTTTCTTCAACTATCTTACTTGCATACTGAATCACTTTGAATATTATCAATATTGTTTATTCATGGATGAATGCAAACTTCTGTATTGTTATGGAGATAGTTTAAAAACAAACAAACAATTGAATCAAATATGAATTTTCTTTTTTTACTGTGAGAAATTGTCTACTCATTTTCTCAGTCACATTGTAATTGGTTATTATTTCCTGATCCCATTAAGATAAACATTTATTGTTATCAGTATTCTGTATACAGAGAAATAAAAATGTTCACTAGTGTGATGATTATTTCTATATCAGTACATATATGTGTATACGTATATCTTTCTCCATGTTAAGTTTTAAGTGGTTTGTACTATTTTAAAGTGTTTCGTAAGTTTCATCGATTCTATGTGTTTGTACTGGGTGATAATTGAAGGTGAGATGAGAATCTGGACCGCGGCAGGATTCGAACCAGCGACCACGGGGTTGCCCACTCGGTACTCTACTAACTGAGCTACGAGGTTCAACTGCTGACCAGAATTTTATTTCACTTCAATCACTAAGAGTTTTATGTATAGATTTTGCATAATTGAACTATCTTTTCACATCTTTGATCCCCAGTTTACCTGATATGACCGAATTAAATAAGCTGAATAGATTGAACCACCGTGAAATGTTTACAGAGTCTACAAATTACATTCTTTCATACAATTCTTTTTCTTCACAAATTTAAAGAGATCGGTAACGTGAGATTTGGTTTCGTTTCGCAGTTTCTCATCTGCTGCTTACAATCCAGAATAATTTTAACATAAATGTTTCTATACTTGAATCAGATTGATAGATAAAATTGTTGGCTTGAATTAAAGATGAGATTGATATGACGTAATTGAAAACACCCCCACCCCCTTCCCGTAGAATATTCTGTATGCTGGCAATCTTAGTTCTGCATATTTATTCATTCAGTTTATGTGTTTTCAGTTACGTCATATCGATGCTATCTTTAATTCAAGTCGACAATTTTCGATCAAACTGTTTCAGGTATACAAGCATCTATGTAAACTAGTGCTATAGCTTGTACTACACCGTCGTTGACTGGACCGAATTGATCACTCTCTGTTGGCGTATGGGCTCCTGTGCAGATGCCTCGATATTGCCTGTGTTCTTAACTATACAGTAATGATGGATAGTGGCTAGCAGTGGAATCCAGGATGTGCATTTCATCCTAGCATGAATGGCTAGTCGAAGTCACTCAACCTTTCCATATACGTACCACCAGTAGTGAATCTTTTGTTTGAAGCTTCTTAAACACTTATCGTCTACCTGAAAATCCAGTGAACTACTGATATTAGTTAATACGACTACCTTTAACCGCCATATGAAGGAACCTAATAATGTCTAGTGTGTACTTCACTTTACTCTTATCAGATGCAAAATAACTCTTGAAAACCAATTCACACTTTGTTGGACAACAAAAGATGGAGTTAACGAAGGAGTTAGGGATTACATTTGGGCTAGTGGGACATATCCTTTACCGATTAAGGTGAATGAGATATTTTCTGCTCATCCTAATCATCTGCTTACCTTGCCGTGCAATGCTAGAAGAAGCTGGATTACGTTAGAAGAAGGCTTAGGGTGACCAAACTAAGATATGGAATTAGTGCATAAAGTCGATGACGGATGATCTGAGCTATCTAAGAAGATGTAAACCGAGATATTAGGTAGGAATCAGTGGTTGACGTCTTCTAAAGCCTAAATATTTTAACCAAACTTAATTGTTAAATTTTCTCTCCCTTCATACACTTAAGTTTACTTTGATATCAATATTTTTCTATCCACTTGGTGTTTATGTACTACTGTAAAGTGTGGGAACTTTTACACAAGGTTCTACGTTGATTTTGCCTGTCTGTATCTCTGATATGTTCTTAATTCCCAAAGATTGAACACAATGTGAAATTGAGCTGCTTCGTAGTATAGCATTTTAGGTTATTATTGAGGAACAATATGAAAAGTTTGAATGTATTAGTCATTTTGAAATACAAAGACGAATTAAATAGAAGTATTATGAAGAAAAAAGTGACAAACATGCTGTTCGATAATCTTCATTTTAGCCGCTAGTATTATTGTCTAACCCAACCAATATCGTAGTATCTTCATATACTGATATCCACGTTGATTAAAAAATACTTGAATTCGATAGCAGTAGATTGGGAATAAATGGATTACTGCATCGGTAGAGAATTTCATAGCGTGACCAATGCCTCACGTTGGTTATGGCAGAAAAGGCGGCTGCACATTCTTCTTTGGGATGCGTAATGATGGTTTGAACTTTTAAATTACTAATACTTCAGCATTGCCAAGATGTACTAACCTTACTTCTTTCGATTAGTCTGTTCACACTCCATTCCAAACGTTCACTACGTGTTCTGTTACTGATCTGAGTATAGATTCTCGCTATTCCCTTGCCAGTCATGTTTGATAGCGGTGACGAGTACGCTTCACAAACTGGCACCTGGTACGGAAGCCGCACTCAGCTCCATGGAAGTAAATAAGTTGATAAACACCCATTACCTACTAAATTCTAATGCAATTGATGAATAATATAAATACGAAAAACTGAAGCATTTTCAACAGTTATTTTACCAGAAGGGAACTTTAAATATTATCCTAGTAATTATTCATGCAACGATTAGAAATCTATGAAGGTTGCCTGACTCCTCAAAAACTGAGCCAAAAAATCATATAATATTGTGAGGCAATAGAATCTGATGCTGTTCTAAACCTTCCAACATTTAGACACTTTAGTAGATAAAGATCCATAACCACCTGACCAATTTATCTAACTCCTATGCTTCCTATGTAACAGATTTAAAACAGACTTTCAACTCTAAAATAAAGAAGTTGGTCGAACACCTAGAGACTTCTGGTGTCCCTTAACTTTTAAATCTTTACTTCGCAGGTTTATAGTAGGATATGATAAAGTGCTATGCCACGAATTTCTTACCTGGTAAGTTATCGGATATTTCATCAGTGCAGTAAGTGATGTGAGTTAGCAAGGGCTAGCTGAAACTTTGTATTCATTCGGAGAACATATAGACTAGTTAGCCACCTGAGCTAAATAAGTTTTCAACCATTCTTTGGTTTATGAAAGGGTAGTGAAGAGCCTAATCCATTGTTCCTACAGTAGCGTCGTATGAAAATCGACCAGTGATCCATCATTCTCTGCTGCAGTTAACTATGTTAGAAATCTAATCCAGTAAATAACACTATTTCAATGAATGACATGTCTGATGTCCCCTGAAGTGAAATCATTTTAGCCGCTGGCATTGTTATCTAACCCAACCAGTATCATTGTATCTTCATATACTGATATTCACGTATGCTTAAGTTGGTTGAATAGTACTTGAATTCAAAAGTAATAGAGTGGGAATAAATAGATTACTGGTTTGTATGTATCCGTTAAGTTTGAGATGTATTCCTTCCTAACTCCAGCTAGAAACACACAGAAACTCCAACTTAGGTAAACAGTCCTATAGGCAATTAGATTTATAATACGTAGATTATCTGAAGAATGTAATGTATTAGCGCCATACATTTCGAACAATCCGATCACACATTTTCTTGTTAAGGCGGTTATATATGAAAACTGGAAGTGGGGGAAGGACAAATATGACATAAAGTAATTCAATAATAATAATAATCTTTTTTATTATTGAATTCCTTTATGTCAGATTTGTTCTTCCCCCACTTCCAGTTTTCATATATAACCGCCTTAACAAGAAAATGTGTGATCGGATTGTTCGAAATGTATAGCGCTAATACATTACATTCTTCAGATAATCTACGTCTTTTAATTACATTATCCAAATTCATAAAACAGACCAATTGTTTCAGATTCATAATACTCAACATCATGCTGTGTAATTCTTGGATAGATTACTATAAAAAAAACAAAAGTTGATTCATGTAAGAACAAAGATATTTACACTATAAAACCACCCCGTTTTATTTCACCGCCTCTCATCAGCTTCAAATAAACTACAATCGAAATGAAATATAAGTAGTAATAACAACATTACACACTTCCTAAATATACAGAAATAAATGAAGATTTGAAATCCAAAATTAACAGTAAGATAGTCAGTCGGTCGAGAAAATACTGGATTATTGATCACAAACAAATCTTACTCGAAACCAATAACCATTTATAAACATCTGATAAAATAGACAATCCTGAAACTGTGGAGGAGGGAAGCGGTGGACAAGAGAGAAACATCAGTGTAATAGGAAGGGTTGATAGGAAGCTAGTAGGATACATAATCATGTGAAAAAACTGGAAAAATGTTAGGTGGAGTGATTAAGAACCAATAACCAAACAGAAGGAAGACACATGCAAAATATTATATACAACTACCAAGGTGGAGAAAGATTAATTACACTATCTTTACGAAAACATAGATCAGACTGGAAATGTTTGATGGTGACGACAGCTTCGATAAACCGTAATCAACATGACATTCTTCGTTCGTTGATTATCCTGAAGGATTGAGAAGCATCTGTGTATAGTGCTTTGTTGCCATCATGTGCCTACCCACTACACGCGTGAACATCAGGTTAACTTTCAGATACAAATTTCTCAGGATGTCTTCATCAAATCGAGTAGATGCACTCCTTTCATCCCTCCCTATCTACTTGATTCCACAAGCACTGGTGACTTGATATACATAGTTGGGTGGTGGCGAGAGATGCTTATTGGTCTACTTCCGACTGTGTTATTGAGCATGCTACATTGTAGAGTGAAATCCGTGTGACAGTGGGGAAGCTGCTTCTCAGTGCAGCTTTTATTCTCCTTTCTATTCTCCTGTCAGATGTCTCAACATCTTCGAATGCTAGACGAAGGAAAACTAGTCTCTCAATATATTATTTTGCATGCTTCATGATGAGTTTCTTCACATGTCCATTGTGCATGATAACACACTCAGGGATACCGAATTCCTCTTCTTCTTCTTCTTGTTTGTCTTTTGAGCATAGTGTTCTTATTCTAGTTAATAGTGTCATGATGACTACTAGTATTCGATGTTAATTGTAGACTGTTTGGAGCTGATGAATGTTGGTGAAGTGAAATGATGTTATTTGATTGTTTAAATGTCTTTGTTCTTAGATTGTTCAAATTTGTCAAGGGAACTGAGAATGTATGACGAAAGTTGATTAGTTCATTTCTAACACTTTCTTCATTGCACAGAATATAACCTGATTACGGTACTGTTGAGCTTTTATATTGATTAGTATGTGCATAAAGTC